TGCCCTACCCCTTGCATATCCATTCTCTTCTTTATTCAATGTCTGATCTTCATTCTTCACTCACTTCTGATTCCATTCTGTGTCATGTTTTTCTAATCAGAAAAAGGTTAATTTCCATAGAACAATTTAGGAGGTTGTGTTTGGGGTACAGTGGGAAGAACTGGACAAAACAACATATTGTAAACATTAGGGTGATACATATTTCCATGCTTGGAAAACTTCCTTAAAAGAATATAAAATGTAGGTTCCATTTACCCCTTGCATTGTTACATGAATAATGTCTTACAATAAAAAATGAATCAGTTCTTCTAAGACCTATTAACAACCTAATGCACATTTTGGCTTCATTAATTGCTCATAAGCAAGTAAGCTGCGCCAGGTTTCTCCTCCAAAAGAACCTCTGTTTCCAGGCCTCTACAATGTCCTGTCTCTTTGGTAATTTTTGAACAGCTAAACATTTTAACAGCAACTGAGAAGCTCTTCATAACTAAATTATTTAGGAAGAAATAGTAATTGTAAAAGCTCAGAATAAATGACTTCAAAAGATAATGATGCTTTATAAAGATTCTAATAGAAGATAATTGAGGCAAGATATAGTACTTTAGTATCAATTTTAAGTAAAGAGAAGTTCTAATTTCCTCTAACATGGTCAGTTGCTGAGAATGGCTATTACCAGTGACAACTCCTGATGCAAAAAGCTAACTACTTTTGGTGTCTTTGGTGTCCTAAAATATATGCCTTATTTTTCACTCATCCTAACAACCATAAACCAGAACAGGACCTATGTATTACAGAAAAATGAAACTGGATTTAAAACTCATATTTAAAAAAATCTCCCACTTGTTTTCCTTCAATGAAAATGTTTTAAGTTTTTCATTAAGATTTTATGAACCCATCTTTTACTAGTTCACAACTTTTCATTTTAAACACAATAAATGGCATATCTCTCCTCATATCCAAGTATGCATAGAAGTGTATTGTCTTTATGAACTGGTCTTGATATGGGGTCTTCATATGGGATCCTCTCAATAAAAGCAACAATTTATAGTTGATGTTGCTTCAAACATATGGTTCTAGTATTAAATTGATTGATAATATAAAAGAAACTAGGTACCTATTTATGTTAAATGTAAATAAAATATTTAGATTAAGAGAATATATATATATATATATATATATGACATACTAGGAATATATATATAAGAGATAGATTAAGATAAGAAAGAGAAAATGTATAAATATAAATTACTGATGTGAAGATGTTGAGAAGAAGATGTAAATATCTATTTTTGTTTGTTTTGTTTGTAGGTTTATTTCTTTGTATTAAAAAAAGTTCAATAAAAATTATTTTTAAAAAATTGATTGATAATGTGATACATGTGTTAGCCTAAAACCATCATAGTTATTGTGTATTAAATCTTAATTAATTTGATATGCTAAAATATTATTATTAATACCTAAAATTAGGGCAGTATACTAAAATGTAACAGAGTTCAGGATAATATAAAGATCATGGAATGTCTGGAGCAAATCTTGTCTCCCATTTGTCATTTTTAAATTTTGAACAAAAAAATCATTAATATGTAAAGAAGTTGGTAGATAGCATTGTTATTCGCCATTTTTATTGAGACTATGCCTCTGAGAAAATCTTGTTCAGTCATTTCAGCAAAGTATTCCCAAATGTGAAGCATTCCAGGTATCCTGAATTTAATTTTCCAACACCCTAGTTAATGAGGCGAATGACTATGGTAGTTGAGGATAATAAGAAGCATATTATATCCAGGAGACAAGTGGTTAGCTAACGCTAAATTTGAATAATGATTATTTTTTATAAAATAAAACAAAACAATACCATTGAAAATAAATATATAGATATGTATATGTATATACTAAAGTGCTAATTTGATGTAGTGGTTAATAAGGCATCAGACTAGAAATCAGGAGACCATGAGTTCTAGTCCTGCCTTAGGCGCAAAGCCAGTTGGGTAAATCTGGATTAGTCACTCTCTCTCAGCCCCAGGAAGAAGAAAATGCAAACTACTACCAAATCTTGCAACAAAAACAAAAAACAAAACTGTAGGCAATTGTCCAGACAGTTGCCAGCAGTCAAGACTGACTTGAACTCCCCTAAATAAATAAATTACTATATCACTTATAGTAATGTTTATCTCACTTTGAAGGTAAAAATCTGATGTTAATCTGCTGATATTATTCTAAATATTACATGCACGAATATGTTTTTTAAATTTTTTCAAAATATTTCCGCTTAAGGATAATATAAAGATTCCAGTGAGAAAAATATTTACATAATAGTTAGAATTTCATCTGGGTATAAGCAAGACCTGGGCTTATGATGGCATGCGTGCCAGACATGGCATGCAAGCGCCTTCTCTGTGAGCATGCATGCCATCGCCCCAGCTCAGCTCCAATCGCGTTTCTCCATCACGTTTCACTCAATCAGTTCCAACTTGTCGCAAAAGAAAAAGATCTCATGAAATTGGAATTGATTGATTGAACTTTTTCACTCATGCGCATCACAATGGGGTAGGTGGGGTTGCGTCCTCCTCCTGAAGCCCATTACAACACGGTGCCACAATGCGACCCATGTGGCTCTTTCACCCCTCTGCTGCAGCTCCCTGTGGCCCTGTCATGGCAAAGGGATGAAAGAGTTGTTGCCCTGTCACGGCAGTGGCGATGGCCAGAGCCTTAGTGTGAGAGTGAAGCGCCCCTGTACTTGCCTTTGCATGGCAACAGGATTCCACCTTCATTGCAGTACATTTGCTGTTGCCGTCAGCAAAGAGAGCTGGGAGAGAACAGCGGGGGCGGATCTTGTAGGATGAGGGCAATCCCCCAAGCCTGGCCTTCCTCCTCCCTCATCTGTGGGGCCAAGAGAAAGAAGGGACAGCGTGGGGAAGCACTCTCCTCCCCCGCCCGAGTGCTGAGCACAAAAGCCCAGTGGAGGGGTGGCTGGCCTGGCAGAAGCGCCCCCATTGGCGAGTTGGATGGTGGAGTGGCCTGGCCCGGCTCTCACAGTGAGACACTGGCACCTCCAGACACGAGCTGCTGCCTTTGAAATGCGCCGTTCCTTTGAGGAAGCTGGGTAGCGATGGCTGGGGCCGTGGGGGCAGCGGAGGCATCAGGACTGCTCCCCACTCCTCAGCAAGCCGGGCCCTGAGGAGCACAGAGAGTTGCGGGCCAAGCACCGGAGCATCAGAAGGTGCACTCACACGACACGTGTTTCCAGCGCACACTCCTCTGTCCCGAAATAAAGGGAGGTAGGGGGAAGGGTTGCAGTTTGGGCACTCGGTCCCTAAAATGTTCACCATCATTGAACTAGGCCTAGGAATTCTGGTGATTGAACTAAAGCTGATTCATCCTCAATATTCATTGGGACATAGTTTGCTCATTTTATTTTTAATATTCTTTCTATGAATCAGCAGGCTGGTTCATATATAATCATTCTGTCGTACTCAGCAAGCATGGCCATTCACCTTTCTATTGGTAAATGTCTATGGAGATTCTCAGTCATTCAGGTCATTGTTGTCCCAAAGATGCTTTTTGAAGAGGCAATTGGACTTTCTTGTTTTTCTTTGAAGATATTTTGTTTCTCATCACAGAAGCTTCTTCAGTTCTAACTGGATAGTGGGGAATAGAAGGAATGGCAGTATCTATATTCCTTGCAGACAGCTGGTCATTTACATTATTTTAGAGAGTTGTTGAGGCCACTGGAGGATTATTACCCTGAGGACACAAATAAATCTCCATTTGTATTCTTTTAGAATACAATTCTCCATTTGTATTCTAAAAGAATACAAATGACTCTAAAAGAATATAATACAGCTGTCTGCAAGAAATATGACTCCTTCGAAGTGAAGTGAAATGTGAAATGTCTTCAAAGAAAAATTAGAAAGTCTAGTTGCCTCTTGAAAAAGCACCTGTGGGACTTTCTATTGGAAATGAAGGAGCTTGCTGGTCGGTCTTTTACATAACTGTCTTCTAAATGTTTATCGGAAGGGAAGCCATTGTTACATTTGGCCACAGCCTTTTTCATTAAGATCAAATGTGTTAATGTTGATTTCAATTAACCTGTGTCAATTATTTTTAAATATCCAAGATTTTGTATTCGTGCCAAATTATATACAAATTAATTCTTTGTTAATGATTTTTTTCCTTCTTTAGTGATAATTAACTGCCAACTCTAAGCCCAAAATGTAACTTGTATCTTACTCGCAAAGTATCTGTGAAAATGCTATTTAAATCACATCTCTGTTTATAAATCGTGTTTAAAGAAAATACTAAATGTTTCTGTGAACTGATACAACTGATAAAATTTAGCTTAGTCCCAAAGTAGTCTTCTGAATTAAATAAATGTGACTTGGAAACATACCTTGATGAAATATCTCTGTACTGTCGTGTGGATTATAATATATATATAGAGAGAGAGACACTATTATTATTTTTTAAGATAGTTCAATTTTTGTTTCTAGAAAGAAAGGCTTTATGAAGGAATTAGGTACTTTTTCTTAAACTTGTCATTCTCTCTGAAGTTTTGTTTTTGTGAACTCTGAAAGCCCCTTCACTGACTCCCTATGCTTGAATTGACCCGTTGTGCAGACATCTATCAAATGGGCCATCAGTAGCAGTCGACAAGCAGTAGTACATCCAAGTTTTTAAAAATTCCTTTGATTACTACAGATCCATAGAGCCCTTGGGTCCAAGTCTTCTACTGTAGCACAGCTATTTGCAAATAGATTTTTATAGCACATTAGAGCTGGCGGAGAGTCCAAAAAAAATAGCCTTTTTCAGTATTAGAACCAGCTGTGGCTTTCTTGCTTGGATGAGTCATTCATATTTTGGTGAGGGAGGGGGAAAACTAGCAAAGGACACACAGAGCTTTATTCAAGCTCTTGTTTGTTTTTGCAAAGGGTATCCTAGCCACAAGCCAACTTGATCATATTAACTCTATGTTTATTCAAAGCACTTTCTTTTTCTTTCAACAGTTCCAATTATAAAAACAGAACCCTCTGATGATTACGACTCTGCTCAAACCTGTGGACCAAGGAGCCATGGATTAAGCCCTCTCTCCAAACCATATTACAGCCAGCAGATCATGATGCCTCCTGATCCTGGCTCGTGCCTTGTAGCTGGCTTCGCTTCCTGTCAGCAGAGAAACACTGTGATGTCATCATCTCCCAGCTCTAGTCCTAAGCTGCATGACCTTTCCTCTCCTGCTTACAAGTGCATCACCAACCCAGGCCATAATCATCTAGGACTTCAGCAGACGGCTGGAGGTGTCCCCACCATACAGGAAGTGCCAAGGTCTATTGTTGTGCACCCAAGCTCTCCCGATCAGTCATCTCACATCATGCTGCAGCCGCAGGTGAGTCAACATCTGAGCAGTACCTGTTCCCTTGGTAATCAACAAGCACTCTATCCCAACAGTCCCTCCTCTCCAGTTCCATCTGTAACCCAGGAGTCAACCTATTTGCAGTCCTGCAGTCCAACTCATTCAACTGTAATGGGCCAACAGCAGCTGTCGAATGTTCAAAGAAATGAAACTCCAGCAAATCAGCCACAGTCATTGACCGACTTGCATGAGGACAATAATCATAATTTGGCCCCTATGCCCGTAACAGTCAAGCAAGAACCTGAAGAATTGGACCAGTTATACCTGGATGATGGTAAGTCTGCAGATGTAGAGGTTTGTGTTCAGCCATTTTGTGTTGAGCCATTGAGTTATGGAATATTCAGGAAAGGGGAAGCCTTATGGAATATTCAGGAAAGGGGAAGCTGACAACTAACAGCCTTGTGGAATGGCACAGAAGTCTGATTGGATGACATACGTATGGAAATATTTGTGTACTGTTGTCAACATTAATGAAAGTCCATAACCTAAACATTAAACACCATTAGTCATTGTTAAAGTATCTGCATGTCCAAAAACTACAGTATAATAATGTTAACCATTATTGGTCTTGGCTTAAGCCATAGCCAATGGCAAGTAGAATGGCATTGAAAGATATCCATCATATAGCAGCTTGAAATACATAAGCTTACTAGTTAGAATTAAATGATGAAAAAGTGTTATATTTTATCTAAGAATACCTATGTTAAAAAAACGCACAAACATTTTCCTTCGCTAGCATCTGAAATTAAGGCTGTTTCCATTGCCACATGAAAAAATATTTGTTTTGAATTCTAAATCATAGCCATTTTTGTACATACATCTACATATTTCATACATGTATATTTTGCATGCACCATTGCATTGCTAAAATGTTACACTGAGCTTGTCCAGCTTCCAAAGATTAAATCATTTAAAGCAATAAAAGATGAAATCTGGAATTTTATTGCATTACTTCACTGAATTGTGATGCAGTGCTTAAAGTCCTGAACGTTATGATGTTTGACTTAAGGCAATAAAAGAAGTCCTTCCAAAAGAAATGCTTTTGAATAGGTCAATTTTTTCAATCAATATAATATTTAAAATTATCTTGTAATAGAAATTAACCACAAGATAGCCTGTTTGGTTTAATGGTAACCAAACATTAAGGTACCATGCTAGAAACCAGGAGACTGAGAGTTCTAGTCCTACCTTAGGCATGAAAGCCAGTTGAGTGATTTTGGTCACTTTCTCTCAGCCCATAATGCAACTCTCATGTGACAAGCCAGTCAGATAATTCCTTTTGCAGCTACTGGATCAACTCTCAATTGATTGGAAAAAAGCAGATTGTGCACTTGCAGGAAAAAGAAAAAAAATAGTCACAATTTGTTTGTATGTGTTTTTGCAAAAGCATTTGTAATATTTCACTCTAACTCCAGGCAGCATGACTAAACATAATTTCTCATTTTAAAAGTTAAAATGTGAAGCTTGAATAGCAAATATTGCATTTTCTTGTTCCAGGAATTGTAATATAGTTTTTTAAAATATCCTACTAATATTTGCTATAATTCTGAAAAGAAATTCAAGAGGTATTCGTCACATCCAAAAATGGCACATGACTCCCCAGTTGCTTTTAGTATAATATTCATGTGGCTAATATAAGAATTAATTGCCTGTAAAAATATTAAATTAAACAATTTTTAAAATTCAGGAAAGCCCTTTTTATATTCTTATGTCAAGAAGGATGTTTCCATGCCAGAGCATCTGAAATGTATCTTTAATATAGTTACTTCTGCTCATTTTTTATGTCTGTATTTCCTATGCTATTGAAGTTTTGAGTCATTCATGTGAAACTTGCACATATTTTTAATTTTTTACCAAATACAGACAAGCACCTGCCATATTACACCCCAGATTTAACCACTGTCAATAAGACCAAAAAAAGTGTGGATAGTGGATGTGGCAGTATTTGAAAACAGCAGAATAGAAGAGAAAAAGCTGGAGAAAATCACAAAATGCAAAGACCTGCAAATAGAAGTAGAATGACTATGGCAAAAGAAAGCAAAGATAGTAGTATCAATTGTAATAGGAGCCTTGGGTACAATCCCAAAACATCTGGAGCTCCACTTTAACACCCATCGGCATTGGCAAAATCATCATGAGTCAACTGTAAAAGGCAGCTTAACTTGGAACAGGTTACATCATGCAATTTATACCTTTAACATCAAATAACAACATCTGCCTATACAGGTCCTTCAGAAGGAATCAATATGTGAATAAAAATGCCAAATCCAGCCTAAACATTTGTCTGATTATGCCAACAACCATAATAATAATTTCAATCAAAATAATTTCAAAAGAACAATTTTAATCAAAATTGAAAGATTATGGCATAAACTGGCTATCACGATCCCAGTGGTTGTTAACACACTGGGTGCTATACCAAAAAATCTTGGATGGTGCATTGACAAAATCTCTTGTCAATTACAAAAGGCCACACTACTTGGATCCACACATATACTAACTACACCAATCCAACATCCTAGGTTCTTGGGAAGAGCTCGATGTGTATAAAGGCCAACACCAACTAAAACACTGGCAGCTGATAATGAACCACTTCTAGAAACAGAAAAAGTGACCATATATATGAGTATACCACTATATCCCTTTTAAAATAATATAGAAGAGGGAGGGCTACTTTAGCTCACAAAGTCCCTGTTACTGAAGCTGAATATGTTTGGTTTTCATCAAAATGTGACTTTTCAAAAAGTATTCCTCTTTGTGTAGCACTCACAATATGTTGGCATTTAAGATTATTTTGAAAATGATAGTATTTGCCATTTCAGCATCAAAGAGAGGCCATTTGTATTATTAATCTTATTAATGTTCTTTTGGTATATTTTGATTCCTACTGCACAATGCCATTCAGTTGTGAAGTTATTTCCTACCATTAAGGACATCAAAGAAATTTGCAAGGGTTATCAATAAATGTTATCTCTATAAGCGAGAAGGGAACACGTCAGTACTAACAGGAAGAGACTCCTGGAAACTAACTGATGAGCCAACTTTTCTACACAGTGAGATACTATTAATCAGTGTTTTCTTGAATCTGTTGATAACAATTCATGTTTTACAGAAAAACAACAACAAAATAATAGTCATTCTTTAAAGCATGAAGGTTGACATTTCAAAAACAACCTATTGGTTTCTGAAACGTGAAATTGATTGTGTCTTTAGGGTTGTGGGAAACTGCAAATGAAGACTTTGAAGAAGTAATCTTGAACATTGAACATCTGAAACAAAAAGAGTGAACCATAGAATAGGGTCTGATTGTCTTAAGGGATGACTCAACCTTTGACAAAGTTTGCATGCTTAGTTATAGTGAGTTGAATAAACATAATTGTGTACCCATCATCTGAACTGCAGATTATTATTTACAAACCATAGTGGCTGAAATCAAATATGATAAAACATATCATAATCTCATTTAGCATAATGTGTGACTCGATTTAGCATATCGCTATAGCACTGTTGATTGGCATGGGGAAGGTAACATCGGACTGGAACTCATAAAATATTTGGCATTTGCTATGGAAAGGTCAAATTGCACATTCTCCAGAATGGCCTTTTGCCTTCCAGATTGATCCTCTTCCTGTACTCCACTAAGCGTGGAATGGTGAGAACTATAGTCTGCTCCATCTGGAGAGGAACAGGTTTGATGAGACTGCTCTACGAGAATCCTTCTCTGGAAACAAGCAAAGCAGAGAAGAAGTTGAATGTCAGAACCATCTGTAACTTTTTTAAAAAAAAAGTTCTGCATGCTTTGACTTTGCTAGTGATAATTCTGTGTTGTCCTTCAGAGATGTAACTATGGGAAAATACAGGTTTCGTTTCCATAGTGAAATTTCAATATTAAAATAACTGTAGCTAACTTGATAACAACAAAAGAAAGACGGCAAAAATGTTTATTCATCATGGTTGCTTTCACCAGCTAAACTTATCAGTGAAAAAAGTCAAAATGCACAGGAAAACCCCACTCCTTTTCTACATATGTTGCATATGAAAACGGAGCAAGACTTCAACTCATGTTCATGGCCATCATTTGAGAGGTGTGGTATAAGAAAAAAACTGTTTGCAACAATAGGGCCAAATTCAAAGCATAACCAGGGTGATAAATCACAGTGGGTATAAAGATATGTCACAATGTGTTAGATGGTTTTGAAAGAGGAAAGATAATTAGATTCACCTTCAGTGACACTGCAATATTGACAAGAACTTTTAGCTTTAGAAAAGTTGAAAATCCTGTCAACCATAACTCTGCCAAAGACCTAACAGGTTTAATAAACTACAGTGAAAGATTACCCCTATAATTACATCCTTGGTAATCTGTAAGGTCTTACAGTGTCACTTTTGCATCTGAAAAGTCAGCTAGAGTTACCCTGAAACTGCTTTAGGAAATTGAATTTAGAAACTAAAATTGTTTTTCCACTGCACATATATTTACTCCCTCTTCTTTCTAAAGAAGGGCTTAACTTAATCAACTTATGTTGATATTTTGTACAGAGTATGCACCAGGTGTCTTTAAACTGGTGCCTTCTAGGAGTGTTGAGAATACAAGTCTCTGAATTTTCCAATCAGCATAGTCTTGTGAAGCCTGGCATATCCATAAGAAAGAGGTCCTTAGGTTTGGAGTTACTGGTTGGCAATGGGTAGATGTCACTCATCAGGAGATGTATTCATTGTCAAACAATTTTTGCCATCTGTAATTGTCTCTATATACTTGAGAGTTTTATAGCCCTCTGTCCTAGAACACATACATGACATTTGTTAATGATAAAAGTGGGAAATTAGGCCTATTAAACACTCATGCGGGTATGTAAAAAAGCTGTGGGTGGGTGAGAAGAACGTGGTAAAGGCAGAATGTTACTGAAAGCTGCAACTTGGCCAACTATTTTTAAAGCTCTTTCTTAAACATAACTTTTTTAAATAAGTGCTAGGAATTGTGGAGGCTGTCCGCTACCCAAGAACCATTTATACTGCCCAACTGTTAGAAGTCTACCATATTTCTTCTATTTAAGCCTTTGCTTTTGCATCATATGTGTAGGAAGAGTGGAGTGTTACACACACACACACACACACACACACAAAATTATACACATGGTTTAGTCATATAGTTTATTTGAACAGGAACTGTACCAGACAGAATTCTCCTTGTGTTGAAATATATCCTTTTCATGCACCTCAGCTTTGTGATTAGAATGATTGGCTCTCCGAGCATTAAGTTTAGTCTACTGGTGC